ATAAAACGCTCATCCGTTTGACATGTAAATGTCATAGCTACTTTTTGTATAGTTTGGGCAAAGGGAAAAGCAAAATTACAAAAGGCAAGTGGCCGTTGGTACACTGCGGAGACCTCCAACCGGCTCTCAAAACTTAGAGGTAGAGAAGAGTTTGGCACTCATGGTAAGTTTAAAGGCTCAGTGCTTGTTTACTAGGACACAGAAATATAGGGATAGACTAGCGTTTGTAAATTATATAAACATTCTGGAAAATGTGTGTTTTAAATGTAGCTGTAGCCTACCATAGAAACGTCTTAACTTAGCCTATGTATACGCCAGGTTTTGGTGAACATGTCTTCTAATGTCTGTTTTCGCTTAGCGTTTTGCTATTAGTGTCCAAGTTGTGTGTGAACTGTCAATATACAGTTCACGGATCTGCATTGTGGCGTAGCCAAACGTTTCTCAGTAATTTAAAGGACCGTACATATATTTGTGTTTCAGATAATATTATGAATGTGTAATCTATACCTGTCAATCATTGCCAATAATTAGTTGTCTTGATTGTGCGTAAATTGAAGAACTTTCAAGAAATGTATTAGATTTGAATATGAGGAACTTTATTTTTTTACTCCAAGTTAAACTACAAACAAATACAAAAAGCTTTTTGGCAAAATGCTAACAGGCAGTTCAACATGACTTTTTTTTTTTTTTCTCACACGTTTGCCGTTCATTCTGCCTTCTACAAATAGCCAACTGATCACAATAAAAATGTTCAATATGTACATCCTTTTTGGAACATAAACATGATCCAGTAATATACAATTACATATTTGGAATACAACTATACACACGTATGAACGGGTACAAGAATTTAGTGAGGACTATTTACACATTTCCTTTTTTTTTCTCTCTCAAAAATAATAGAAGAGTTTGAACACATGACAAATCGAATGTGGTTATTTAGACAATTATTAAACAGAGGACCATGAAACATACAGAGGCTTCTGCTAAATTTACTGCAGTCACCACTAAACTAGAGCTTCACTTCATACAAGGGCAGATTCGTTTCTAAGCTGTAAACTCAAAAGGTATACACGTATAGGTAAATAAGTTATAACATTTAAGAGCTCACATGCTAACTCTCAAGAAAGCATTAACATAGCACTTTACACATAAACAATATTCATAACAAGAACAACAGGCGGTATATTGAGAGCTTCTTTCCCCTTCAGTTTTATTTACTTGCCAAAATTATAGTCACCATAGTATTAAAAAGAACAACATGTGAACACTAATTTTCGCTTCATTATAGCAGTACCACAGTATAATTTTAAAATGCCTAAAACATCCAGAACATGCCAAAAGGTGCCGCGATGTACAGTACTTTGTAAGTAATGTTTTGAGACCTATTTTTCCTCGTCATTTTCTTTTGCACACCACGTAGTAGGACTTGGGAAACAACTATGGCTGGAAAGCGCTGCCTGCAGTAGCCAGACTCATGCTCTTCAGTTTATTGTCCTTTTTCCATTTCATCCGCCGGTTTTGGAACCATATCTTAATTTGACGCTCTGAGAGGCACAGAGCGTGGGCTATCTCTATCCTCCTCCTTCGGGTGAGGTATCTATTGAAATGGAACTCTTTTTCCAGCTCTAGCGTCTGATAGCGGGTATATGCAGTTCGGGCCCTTTTGCCGTCTGGTCCAGTCATATCTGAATAATGTGGACAAAACGCAAAGGGGAATAAAGATTAGCGAAAATTGACCTGCACATCATTTCAACAACAGTTTCCAACAACTTTTTGTTATAGATACACATGAGTGACACGATTTACAACTGAATGCGTACAGGGAAATCACCAAATGGTACTGTGCACAGCGCCTCACTTTTGGCTCATGGCGTTGTTTTTGTTTCGTTTTGCTACTTAAAACCTAAATATTTAATACAACCTCAAATATTCGCAGTTATTATATAGTCACTTTTTTCCCGCTGCTTGTTTATCCATCCCACTATCAACGCATTTATTTCACCCCGTGTTATTTCTCTCCGTTTTATTAGCGGTTCTCCAACACTAAACTAATCACATTCCCACACACCATAAAGCTGAACTTTTCACAGAAACAACAACTTGTAAACCTTCCTGCCTCGCTGCCCTCTCTTCCACCCCGCTCCCATTCTCTCCTCTACAGTTTGCGAGGCTCCACACTTGATAGATTTATGGCACTTTCACGGAAATCTAAAATAAAGACTGTTATGACGCCACACTGAATTTAAATCAGAACTGAACACAATACGCATTTGTTAACAAACACAGAAACGTAAACATAATACGTGTGTACCATGGCTAATATGTAGTTTCCTCATCCAAGGGAATATTTGGGGAGCTTGGCCATCGGACGTCGCCGAGGTAGTGGAGGTTGCCGTGCTCTCTTGCTTCTGTTGTGTCCGAGGTGCGGAGTTGTTTGCTCTGTGAGACGCGTCCTCGGTCTCAGAAGAAACGCTGGCTTCGTCGATTTCTGTGAAATGTGTGTTGTTGTTGAGATTATTACCCGCAGTGCTGGTGTTTTGGTCGGAAGGGGGCGAAGAGCATTTGGGTCCAAGGCTTTCGCTGTTGGAACAAGGCAGTGGCTCCGGAGACGCGAGCGAGCAGCTTGACGGCTGCCGGAATCGCGTCTCCGGGGCTGGAGACTGGAAGACCCGGGAGTTGTCCCCAACCGCCCCAAAGTGGCCAGTGCTGGTTGAACGATTGACGCTTAGGTCCATTCCATTGTAGTTGTAGCCGTAAGAGCCTGAATGCATGGTGCCGGAGTCCCTGTACGAGGCGTTCATAGCGCTGCTGCTAGTTCCATAATTTAGTAACTGATAGTCAGGGCCATTTGGGTAGCGCCCTGAGAACGAGTTTACAAAGTAAGAGCTCATTTAGGTTGTTTTAGAGGGCTTGATTTGTAGATCTTGGTCGTTATAACGCTGTGCTTCACGATTTATGATGTATTAATGAATTATAGCAATGCACTGTACTTCGTTTTTGCTATGTATGCGGCCAAATATGGGGGTGGGGGTGCGTTTGAGAATCACGTGCTTTTGTTGACCAGTCGTAAATTCTCACTGATGACTTCAAGAGGTAATTCATGCTCTATGGTTACAAATGATGACGAGACGGGGAGTCGTTAGACTCGAGTCAACGTGTACCTCCCTTTGCAGGGATTTGCTGCATGTGAGCAGACAGCGTCACCTACTGGGAATAAAATGTATTGCACGATGGGAAGATGTTGAGCGCTCAACTCTACTTATTTCTCTTTTAAATGGCAATAAAACGAATTTTCGTTGTAGTTTATTGTGATATTAATAAACTTTAGTGCAGTTATTGACCCTTTACGCATACAAAAATTGCCCAGAATCTATAATGCGTACTTGAAATGTGAATATTAAGATAAAGGTTAACTGTCACATCATTTCGGATAATATATGTATATATATATATATATACACACACACACATACAAACTTATTATTAAAACATATAATAATGTATATGTTAATAATTAATAATAACACACACATTTTAAGAACATAATAAGATTGTAGTTGTATGATGTGAAACCCTACGCCCACTCAGGTAGTAGCTACTTTAAAATATTATAATAATGATGAAAAAATTAAGCACTGGTGGCAACATTAACTAGGCTACATTATGAATACATGATAGGCTATACACTATTAAATATACAAAATTCAAACAAATCGTTAAATTCCGCTAAATTCAAGTGAATCCTAGCGTTGGTCTTACCACAGATGTATTTTTTCAATCCTAAGAAGCGATCTGACTTTTTAGTAGACGTCTTCCAAAGATGAGTTCCTGTTCGCACACTGTATGGACAACATAAGGAATGCGAGATCGTGATTTATGTTCCAAGATGATATATGGTTTGTTGACAAAACGCCAATTGCTGCTTCGTGTATGTACATGATGTAAAAGTGTACTAAACTTCTATAGACGTTTGGTTGTTAAAGCCGGAAAAGGACCGTTGAAATACCTCAGAACAATATTAACTCTTATATTTTAGCAATATTGAATTCCCTGAAAATAGCAGAATTTAGCAATAAGTAACATATTTACAACATTCTAGCCTGCGAAGAAGCGTGAAGTTCTGCCACTGTGCTCGGTGAACACATATTCATGTATAGATGCATGTATACTCTGGTTTGTAGATTTTTTTAATGCAAATTATGTCTCTGATTTTGGGTTGAATTTTGTTGACACAATTAGGAACCTCCACTTATTAGGAACCTCCGCTTAGCCCTCCAGGCTGTAGAGTATCTCAGGGTGAGTGACCAGCGCCCACAGGTCAGCTTTCTCTTTTGGTTGTCTATTAAAACCTGCTGAACCTTTTCACCTCTCACTTTGTAGGAAGTATTTTGGAACCAAGTGGGCAACGTTCGGCCTTTTAGTTG